TAACACTTTTAAGAGTCTTCCAAGGGTTTTCATGATCAGTTAATTTCAGCACTTGCTGTAATGTTCACCGATTTCTAGACCTCTCGACCCAAGACACTTCGATCTAAATTAGACATCTCGACCCAGACACCCTGGACATCTCGACCCACCGCATCAACGCGACCCTATCTCAATGTGGCGACGCGAATTAAACCTCTATCTAGTTCAATGTTAACGTTGATCAACATCTATTGGATTCGAAACATCGGCCACAGAGAGCCTGATTGAACTGATCCTTAAACGCAATCCAATGCAATGGATCAATCCAAAAATGACAACATTTTAAGGGGTTGCGTGCTGTGAAATGAACAAAGAAAGCAGCCAGATAACCACCACAGTCCGCTTCATGTATATAACATTGAATGATTGATGAACGTACATTCAACTTGTTTTTTCCAGTGTTTCTTTTTTCCTTGGAAATAGCATGTGTGTGTGCGTTTGCGTGAGCGTGCTCTATTTATTTTCAATGCGTGTGGTTGGCGTTGATTTTTTTTTTTTATTCGCGAAATCTATCACTGGCAGCGTTTGTTTTGTCATGTCTCACAGCTGAAAGTCCAAGCTGACTTTGATTTGGGTGTAGGTGGGTGAGATGTCTAGGGGTACTGGGTCGAGTTGTCCAATGAAAAACGGGTCAAAATTTGTTTGGGTCGAGATGTCCAGTACCCATGTTCACCATCTTCTCAGTCTCAATGCTTATCTTTTAAAGTGAGGCCATAGCGTGTCATTGTTTACAAACAAGCGTCTACCCATCAGCCTTTGCGTTTTTAGCGTGTGTTGTTATCGCCACTTGGGACTTAATTCCTTTGCATGCGCAGGTGACGACCCTCTCGCTTTGAATGTTTTGAAACATTGTGATTAGTTCCATAGTTCAGATTATATCTGTCACTTTCCAGGAAATTAAACTTGACCCATCCATTCATTGAAGAGATTCGACAGAATTATCGCAATGTTCTCTGTGTAGTGGTTGGATCACTGTGTACTACGAAGGACTGCCAACTTGTTGCTAAACTACTACGTGAAAAAGAACAAGGTGCTGATGTGGGGTCACAGGGCCCTATACAGGTAAAACTGTTTTATATTTACCTTCGACCATATTTAGCCTATCATTTATATTCTCAGAAAAGGCTATTTTTATACCTGCCCTGGAAAATAATAATTCATCTGTTAATATAGAAAGGTCACTTACGATAATTATATGTTATGTCGTGGTATACATTGCTAATAAATGCTGATTCATTCAGAATAGATTCATCTATTTTGGTTGACCGAATGATTCAGTGAAAATAAAATCCAGCAAATACATATTTTTTTCCTACATTTTACATTCAACTCGTCAAAAATAAATGAAAATAATTTCCATAAAAAACACCCAAAAAACCCCTTCAGCGAAAATTAATTAATTACACCAATATTTGGACAGGAAATATTACAATTTACAAAACATTGAGTATAAAATTTGTAGTGTTTTCAAATGTATGTATTCACATGGTTTTTAATTTCACAGATCAGCAATTACATAGTAAATTTAAATCAAGTTAATATGTTTGTGGGTATGGCTTTCACTAACCCTTGGCCAGTAACATATTTTAATTCGACTGGCGTTTTCTAAAAACTGCTAACATTAGTATGCTTAAATTCAAGCAAACAAAATTGGCTACAAATTGTATGATCTGATTAAAACAGTCTAAATTCAACTATCAGAAAATAACCGTGTTCTCCATTACTGTGTACAGATATTCAGGTGTTTTTCTAAACTGGGGAACAGGGGCGCAGCACCCTGATAATCTCGACTGGCGCCCTCTTACCGAATTGCCGATTGAACTTTCTAGTCATAAATATATTTCTTGAGCCACGCACTTCCGTGCTGCTGTACAACGTGAAATCTTTCTCAAATATATTTTTTTCTCCGTGAAAACTTCCCAGCAACACCAGCTGATAAAGTGTCTGGACACCAAATACACATACACAGATATACAGATACACCATTAAAACTGCGCAAAAACCTTCTGATATGGCGTTTCCAGATCGATCGCCTGTGTTTGCTTCCTCTTGTTCATTTTTTCTAGAAAAACCCCTGGAGATTGTTGTGGAGATCTCCAAAACTTGCTTACTTTCATGTGTATTATTTTAGTATCAGTACTCAGATTCATGGTTTCATATGCATTTACTGCAGGGTGAGGAAGATGTCAGTGTTGTAGATGATCAAACCAGGGTGATAAGAATTCCTGCTGACAAACCTGTATCCTACCATGTCTGCGAGCTTCATATCACCACAGAGGGCGGTATACGCTTACTAATATTAGGCGAAGGCACAGGTGGATTTGATAAACCTGATGAAGAAAAATTTGTTGATATCGATGTTGGTGAAGATGAGCCAGATAATCCATTCATAGATCGGACAGAATCGACAAATCCATTTGATGACCCTGGTAAGTATGTTTAAGGTCAACTGTTACGGTCAAGGTCATCTATTTGGTTGTACCTCATGGTTAATACACTAAATTATTAGGCTAAAAGCTCAAGTACTGATGTCACACGTCACATATGCACATTTATTCACTTCATGATCTGATTCAAGATGGCTGAATAACAGCCATTTTTGTGCTAAAAAGTCATCAAAATCAAGCATTTCTACTATTCCAGAACCAGATTTTGGTTGTGTATGGCTGGATTTTGTTCAAATATTAGTACATACATTGGACATTGTTAGGCCTTGATGCACATCATTTTGTTTTTCACATCGTATTCAAAATGGTTGTCTGAAGGCCATTTTATTTTAATGAATGTTGTTTTAGAGTCATATCTCCGATATGCCATGCCAGACATCATGTCACACATATGCATATACAATGTATAATTGTTTGATGATCAGATTCAGAATGGCTGAATGGCATTTCTGCCATTTTGGAATCCGATTTTAGTCAAACTTAGTACGAACATCAGATTCAAAATGGCCGACTGGTGGCAATTCATCAATCATAATTTTACAAATTTAAAGTAACTAATTCATTGTACATATCAACCCACAGAACCGAATCACTATGAGCCATTCAAGTCAATTGTCAGTCTAGAATTTGCAAGACAGATACTGGTTAACCCATTGGTTACATAGTCTACTAAGGCATCCAGCAATGATCGATTCAATGGAATCATTGGTAAGTGATTGTCATAATCAGTTTAAACTAGTTTAGTCTGGTTCCAACTGGATTCATGTCTTTCATTAAATATAATGCAGTTAAGTCTAGAATATTTTGCAATATGGTTACAAGTAGAAGGTGATCCACTCAGTGTGCCTGCAATTTACCTTATCAAGATTACCATTCACATACTATGGCATTGATTATGGTACTTTGATTATGGTACTTTGTTGGTAAAAATTCCCTTTTATTTCATTGAATGGCTATCCTGATGGCTTTGGTATTTTATATGTACTGTAAAATACTTTATTTTAGCTGGAATTAATTTTTGCTGAAAAGACTTTTTGGGTGTTTGGTATGGAATTTATTTGCAAAATAAAGTATTTTACAGTAGACTGTACTCAGAATTGTTCATTTTGTGGCATTAATTAAAATTTATTCTATTTTTCGACTATCCCAATAGAAAACAGGAATCTCTATTGCTTTCAAATTGAATTTTATATGTCGCTACTTTAAGTAAATCTCTCAGATTTGATCATTTTATGTCAGATTTTTTCCAAACTGTAGATTAATTGTTTTCAGTATATGTATCACAAAAAGTATAGCTTTTTCAATCAATGTTTTTTATTGAGATATCCTTTGTACTATTGATATTATTACTATTCTGTACTGTTTTTATGTGGTAAAGGTTGTTTTCTTTCATGATTTACAGATAGGACAAGCTCATGGTTTACTAACAAACAATGATACCCGGGAATGTAATGAAAAAGTAATATCCCGACATCTGGAAGGAAAAGTGTCATTGTGGAAGATGTTTTTTGAGAAACTCAAGTTTAAATTTCAAGTAAGTCAAGTAACTTTTTGATAGCCGTGTTTCGTTTGACTTCATTTCGTAGATGTTTCTAAAAATGTTGATAATATCCTGAGACTGATTGCATATACTGGAATTAATTTTTGCTGAAAAAACTTGTGGAGTTTTTTTTTTTTTTTGTATACTTTATTTTCACCGAATTTTGAAGAGTGTAATGTAAAATATAAAAAAAAAGGTACAGTCTCTTGATTTTTATTTTCAATGGATCATGCCATCAACGAAAACATGCACATTTGCAGAATATGAAAAAATGTGTTGACCTATTCTCATGAAGCAGAGCTAGGTCACTGAACATTTTATGTTGCTTCTTAGGAACATAATGTTCAGTGACCTGTTCAGTGATACGCACCACGTACTGTAACCATGTATGACACGAGTTCTGCTTGAGCTGCTGTTCAAAGATCCATAAAAACATCCAAGTCGAGAAAACAGCACAAACTCAACTATGAGATAATCCCAAACACAAAAATTTATGTTCACTTTTATTAACAAGTCATTGTCGAAACATAGTTTACGTATGGTTACCATGTTCTACGCATTCACAACATATTCATGACGGTCAATATCCACACTTTTATCATATAAAAATGATTACCAGTATTCAAAAAAGTTAAACAATGATCAAAGACCATGTTTTATGATTAGACAATCAAATTTGGGGCATTTTGAAGAGGATGAACATGAACCCGAAAATAGAAATGTCCCAAAAGTGGTGGTGGGCACATAGCCAAGCATGGTCACTAAGCTGGTCAAGTACGATATGTTTCACATGTAGGGGTAATCTGTTCAGGAGAATCTCAACATCCAGCCCAAAGCAGATTGTAGGCTAGACAAACAAGTCTTAATTTACAGATTCAAAGCCAATGATAATATATATAGTATAAAAAAGTCTCTGATCTTACACCTGAATATCAATGTTTGACAGATGAATTATCAATGAAATTCAAATCTTCAGTGCATGAATTATGTCAAGACATGCATCGTTTGTTGCAGGATGAGAAAGTTAACTATCCCAGTGAAGATTCTGATGGTTATATCATGGCTGTGCATTGTGTATTGGCATCCATGGCTGGTATGTACAGCATTATTATTTTGCTGATTATAAACTTATAACATATTTGTATTATAATAATTCACAACAAGTAGTTCATAGTGCATATTACTAATAATTTTATAATGTTCATTGATGTATATGTCATTAGTGTTACTGGTAGTGTTTGTGTCATCAGTGTTGGTGCTTATGTCATCAGTGTTGATGATTATGTCATCAGTGTTGGTGATTTGTCATCAGTGTTGGTGATTATGTCATCAGTGTTGGTGATTATGTCATCAGTGTTGATGATTGTGTCATCAGTGTTGGTGATTATGGCATTAGTGTTGGTGATTATGTCATCAGTGTTGGTGCTTATGTCATCAGTGTTGGTGCTTATGTCATCAGTGTTGGTGCTTATGTCATCAGTGTTGAGGCTTATGTCATTAGTGTTGGTGCTTATGTCATTAGTGTTGGTGCTTATGTCATCAGTGTTGGTGCTTATGTCATCAGTGTTGGTGCTTATGTCATTAGTGTTGGTGATTATGTCATCAGTGTTGTTGCTTAATTCCCATACAAGAATGGAATACATTAATTTGTATGTTATTAATTCACATTCTTGAAACAAAATATATTTTCAGAATTATCAGATGAACAATGTGCAGCTTTGTATCAATACAATGGTGAACAACACAGCTTGCTATTACACTTGGTGAGTAGTAACTATTTTGTTCTGAGGGTAGGTACTGTTGGGTGAGTTATGTAAGCAGGCACTACTAGTCTTGGTAACATGGGTAAGTTAGGTAGTCACTTCTAGTCTGGCTAAGGTAGGTAGCACTTCTGGTCTAGATAATGTGGGTTCATGTAGTCACTGCTGGTAAAGTAGGTAGCACTGCTAT